AAGAATTGCCTGGTCAGAGTGCTTGTGGACACATTTTAGCAAGGTTCGATTTCTTATCAAATTGGTTTATGATGTCGTACCAAGCCCAACAAAACTGCATATATGGGGAAAGAGCAGGATCCCCAATTGCCAACTATGGGCAAGAAAAGGATCTTTACAGCACACCTTAGTAGTTGCCTAAAAGTTTTGGGTGATGGTTGGTACCATTGGCACCACAACCAAGCCCTTAAAGCAATTGTAAATGAAATGACTAAAGCTATAAGGGCTAATAAGCATCAATCAGAAAAGAAGTTGAATCAGATTAACTTCATCAAAGCTGGAGTAAAGATACAGAAAGAGAGGAGAGAGAGAACAAGCCTGTTATCTTCCGCAGATGATTGACAGTTGATAGCGGACTTAGAGACCCAGTTGAAGTTCCCCAGACACATAGCCATAACATCATTCAGACTGATATTGCACTCCGACAACACAAAGCAGTGCATTATTTGGGACCTGTCTATGTTGTGGGAGGAGTTTATTACTCTGGCAAATGAGAGAAAGTGGTCCAAATACCAAGAACTTTCAACAAGTCAGTGAAAGTCATGGAGAATATATTATGACCCAGTAGAAGTTGGTTGCAAGGGCTTTGCAGGACAGTCATTGTGCAGAGCCCTAGCAAAAATAGGCATAGTGGGGGCAGTGAGGGGGAGAAGGCTGAAGGATATTACCAATGCAGTTTTAACTGCTTCCAAGTGGATTTGGCTTAAGAGATTGGAGCCATTCATTTGAGGATGAAAAAAAAAACCCTCACGAACATAGGGAAATGGAGGGGAGGGGTTACAAAGTATAAGGGAATATTGAGACAATACAGTAAGTCAGGGCAGTTCAACTGTTATGGATAGGAGTTGAGAAGTGTTATCACCTCACATGGGAGTGGGGGCCAATGGATAGAAATTTTTCAATTTTTTCTTGCCTTTCAGTTACTGATTGCCATTTATTCCTGCTTATTTGCGGTTTTTATTTACATTACCATGCTTAATTGCCTAATTCTTATGAATATAATTTCAGATGGCAGAGATGTAAAGTAGCATCGTAGTAATCATAGTTTTGAAAATGTTGAGTGGTGATACCAGTATTAATTGGCTAGATTTATTTTGAGTAATATTTAACTGATAGTAAATATGTGAATAGGTTACTTAATTGAGTAGTTAACTTATATTTTTTATTTATTTCTTTTTTTTAGATTAGGCTATGGAATTATTTTAATCAATAAATCACAAAACTGGGAAGGACCTTCAAATAAATAGTACGAGTTAATTTTGCAATGACTGGTTTCATAAAAATAAATTATTGTAAGTGGGGGGATAGAATTTATGTATGTGCGTCCATGCATGTGTGTGTGAGTGCATTTACTACATTTATACATAGATGCATGAATGTACATACATGTATAGAATTATTTTTTTTGTGGAATTTTGTTTGATGAATAGTATAAGGTAAACATAGACTTAAAGATTTATATGATAGCAAGAATAATGAAAATTGTTTTTGTTAGAAACGCTACTATAAGAGTTGTTATGGGATTAGTATTTAAAACATATAAACATTGGATTAAACTATGCAAGAAAAAGTCCAGCTTACCTCATTATGGATTCCAAGGGGAGTAGCTCAAATCGAAACCAGATGAAGTTAAAAGACAATATTTTTTTTCAAGACTAAATTTTACACGTTACTTTGTTTCACAAAATCAAAGTGACCAATCTTTATCAATATTCTTGAAATTGTACACTCAATTAGGAGACACCTTAAACTACAATCAGGAAGATGTTCATTTCCTCTTTGACCTGTGGAAGTGAATCCCTTCAAAAATTATAAAGTAAGCAAAAAGAAAAAAAAAAGAGCAATTGATAGTATGTGATTGTGTGGTAAAAGAAATTTCAATGAACTACTGTCTTGTCACATAAAATAAATGCCCCATATACTTTTCAACTTTTGAGTATTATTTTTTGAAATGTCTGTCATTGTGGAAGTCTGTTAATGGGTATGGAAGGGGTCAATATTTGTTTTTTTTTTTAAGCAAGGGTAATAAAAGTTTATAGACATGCATAAATAAAGACCACTGGAATTGAAGACCCGAAAAACAAGAATCAGGGTAGGTAATAATGTAGGGATTGTTCACCTAAAGTCAGTTTTTTAGGCTTTAAAGGTAATTTAGTCACAGAATTCATGAATTTCGAATAAATTGTCAACTATAAATAACTACCATATTTATTAACAAATTAGTAACATATGAAAGAAATCATCACATAAAATATCTATATTTGTGTTGTGGAATTCAAATCCTACATAGTTCTCAAAATCAGCACAAAACACGCTCCAAACTGAGGTTTTTGCAAAGACGTTTTCTGATTGGTTAACAAATATTTAAAAAATACATTTCACCTGTTCTCAACTACATCTGATCGAATCAGCCTAGTTACTGACCCGTTTTAACAAACACTGATTGCGCCAAGCAATTTGGAGCCAATCATGTGATACAAGTTTTCAATAAATATGAAACATTGTTCATCCTCAGCAGTGAGACAAACCAAGTTTTTCACTTTGACAACATACCTATGTCATTCAATTTCAGGCTTAACGTCAATTACTTAAATTAGCATAAACCCAGCTTGCAAAGGAACACTCACTCAAACAATTTACTTATTTCACTACAAACATTGTAAGTTAAAACTCCAGTCAAAGAGTGACAACTTTGTAGAAATCACAGTAAGTCGAGAACAATGCTTCTAATTTAATACAAAAACAAAACTTTAATTTTCCCACAAATACAATAATACTTAAGCACACTTTCTCATTTTCATACATGCAGTTCAACAACATCAAATCTTTCAAAACTTTAATAATGCTACAAACCAAACAAAACAAAACTTTGGAACAATTTAAACTACTTGAACGACAAATATTTGTACCTTTATTGTGTTATATTGTAGTATTAGATTTCTACATTCTCTGTTTTAAACCTGTTAAAAGAGGATCACAGCTAAGTATTCTCATTTTGTGCTGAACCAATTAAAATTGGCTCCAAAGTTCAATATGAAACAATGCTTTCTGATTGGTCTATAAATAATAATGTCATGTTTCTGCCTACACCCACATGGTTGACCTCGAGTTGACCTGTTCATAGTTCAATGGGCCAAAAAAATGTAAACGTTCTCAAGCCTCTCAGGTGATCAAGAAAATACATAAATATGAAACTTCAACATGACTTAGTGAGTCCTTAAAATAATCAACTCATCACATGAATCTATGAAACCCAACTTCATTACTAAAAGTTAATATTTATTAACATCAACCCAGCTTGAGGAATTCAATTTCTTTTCAACATCAACTCATCTAGTGACCAATTCAACCAAGACGAAATTCAGAAACCAACTCACTCAATATCTTAACAACATAAAGGAAATTGTAACTATATCAGTCGAAGTGAGACAACTCTCAAGCAATCTATTTCAAGTCAATTTCACCATTAACAAAAACTAAAACTAAAATAAAATTCCTTATCAGATCTATAGCATTAGACCTTTTATATTATCTTTGATCACACAACCAAGAACTCTAAAGTGTTTTAAACAACTTTATTATATCATGTATACTTGTTGTTATATAAAAATATTTTCTGTTAAGACAAATATCTGCCTATTTGATTATTTCTCTTGTTGTTGTTGTCATTTGTTGCATTTGATTTAGTAAAAATTGTAGAGGGTCAGTTTGATTTGTATTTTGTCATTGATACAGATTGGCTAACCCACTACAATATAAATGTTTATTAATTGTTGAACCAATACATTATTTTTACATTATTATTTCTCCTGTTGCTTACACATTTTGTTGCATTTGTGAATTAAAATATGTAGGGATTTGAACATGTCCACATTCAACCCCTACAGTGTCTTTGGACAACACATTTTTGAGTGAGAAAATGGTATATAGCTCTGCAGAAATTAGTTTATGATACAGCTTTTAAAAAGCCAAAAAATGAAACCTCCCGTATTTAAAATAATTAAAAATACGGCAATTCTTTTTACACCAGTTCACTGTTATTGGGGTTTTGCAAATAGATTTCTTCTAAACATGGAAAATCAATGAGTTATTTTTTTCCCTAAATAAATTTGTTTTTATCTAGCGAATATACTTAAAATTAAATATAAAAAATAATTAAAAGCTTTTACTTTCACCTTTAGAATGTGTAGATTCCCGAATCTGTGAGTATCACCTCTTCTTTTTCAGATACACTAAAATTAAAAACTATTTTAATCATTTCAATATAATCTTAAGTGTCATGCCAGTATATTTGATGGGTTTGTGTGAATGAATGGCAGAACACAAATACAAAGAAGGCTTGGAGAACATAACACAAGGAAATACTGAAGGTAAGAGAAGCAAGGGGAAAGCAGAATGTAAGCTACTTGATGGGTTTGTGTGAGTGAATGGCAGAACAGGAATTCAAAGATAAAGGCGAATGGGACATGAGCAAGAATTACTTAAAGCAACAAAATACAAAAAGTTATGGAGAGCCATGATAGAGGACATAGAGACAGAAAAGGAGAGAAACCGACTGTGAATACTATCTACTTTAACTAGAAGCTAAATTATATAGGCAGAACTGCATCTGTGAACCAAAATATATTCCCATTTAAGAATTACAAAGAAAGTTTTGATACTTAAACTCAAAAGCATCTATGTGTGTTCTAAACAAAAGCATCTATGTATGTTCTAATTCTCACGTTTTCCACCCACTTGCTACAAAATCAGCAAATTATTGTATCTCTGACATTTTTTTGCTATTCAGATTTTAAAGTTTATGATTTTAAATATAATGCCTGCATTTGTCATTAAATAAAGTTAAAAGAAAATTTTGCTTGTGTGTGGTATGAATTACAATGTAAAGTACTTGAGTATTTGTTATTGGATACAAGAAGTAATGCTCGTTCTCTTTTTTTTTCTTTTTCTTTTTTTTTCAGAAATTTGTTCTGCTATCATTGGCAAAAATCAATCTGTCATGTTCAGAGGTTTTAGTCATGTTGTGCAAAACAAATAAATTTGAATTGCTGGTTAATTATATGAAAAAGAGGTCCCAGAACAAGAAAACCATTACACGACAGAGCTACAAATATAGATGGTTTGTACTCACTACTGAAGCATTAAGTTATTATGATGGCACCATTGAGGTAATTCTCTTTATTCACTATATAAAACATGCAAATTTATTTTTAAAATTTTTTATATCTTTATTTTTCTTTGAATAGGATTAGACAAAGAAAATGAAAGCAACTTTTTTTCTTTCTTTTTTTTTCTTTTTTTTTCTTTTTCAAAGCAACTCGCCCCACGCTAGGCAGGAGTGCTACTAGCATGCAAGGGGTTGCAAAGGATTGAGAACAAGAGTAAAGAGGTGTGTTTGAGGAAAGGATACAGAGAAGTACGGAGAACAAGATATCAAAAGATGTTGATTGACATTACACTTGAATATTTGAAGATTATAGTTAGCAGGAAAGCAAGCAAGAGTAAGGGAGTTCCACAGATGAGAAGTGCAAGAGAAGAAGCTGTTTGAGTAGAAGAGATATTATGGTTATATGTAATCATTTTGACAGTGAAATGGTGGGACCAAGATGCCAGCCTAGTAGCTCACTTAAATTCATGCAGTCTGGGAACCAGAAAAAGTAGCTCATCAGAACAGTTGCCATGAAAATATTTGTAGAAGAGACAGAATGATGCCATGACACATCTGTGAGAAAACAACTGTAGACAAGATGCCAGATCAGGACCTATTGCATTAAATATTCATCTCTGGGTTTTATCAAGGACTTTGAGACAACAGGGGCACCAGACCATATATGACAGCAATATTCCATGCAAGAATGGATAGTTGATTTATAGATTTGAAAGATGGACTCAGACGAGAAAAACTTTCTGGCATGACAGAGAACCAACTTTCCTTGCAGTAGATGAAGCTATTGATTCAATGTATTTGTTCCACCTCATATCAGCAAACAGCATGAGACTAAGCAAGCATAACAAGGCACTCTCAAGGAGTTGGGCATCAGCCATTCTGATGGGAGGCAGGGAGGGTTTTCTGTGGTGTGTAAAGGAGAGCAGTTTCATTTTGGAGGCATTGAAATTTACAAACCATTTCCTGCCCCAGTCAACCACAGATTGGAGGTCCTTTTTGAGATCAGTGGCCAGGTTAGTTTTGTCAACGATACCAGACTTACTATTGAGGCAGGAGTAAATAGTAGTGTCATTCACGTAGATGCTTACTTGGGAGCTGTTGACATCAGGAAGTTCATTAATGAAGATCAGGAACAGTGTAGGACCCAAATTTTAGTAAGAGAAATGCAGTCAGAATTGATGAATTTGGTGAAAAGGGACAAAAATGTTACATGGTTGTACAGCAAAATCAGATTAGCCACAAGCATAAAGAAGAATCAATTGCTAGCATAAAACAAGATTAATATAATTATGTTAAAATTTTGTAAATTCCATTTATATCCATATGAATAGCATAGAAGAAAATATATTATCTTCTTTTATTTAATATTGGCTAGTTACTAAATTTTACCACTTTATGACTTTAATCAAATTCAAAGCTTTAACAGGATTTTCTTACTACCTTGACTGCCACTATAAAATAAATTTTCTTCTCTAACCTAATTGATTTTAACTTTTCCTTCTCATATGACACAAATACTAGAATTTAATCAGAACAAAAATTTATTTTTAACATGATAAATATTCAAAAACATTTAATTTAAATATTCATAAAATCCCTCAAAACTTTGCATGGTTAAATCCAAAAAATACTGAAAATGTTGCAGTTTTACATAACTCCCAAAAATATTTCTAAGATATACGTTCATGTTAAGTTTCAAGAATATTCAATATAAATACTATAAAAACAGCAATTAATGCTTAAAGACTGTTGTTGGGTTGAAACAAAAGTTTGTTGTGTTTTTTAAGTGAATTTCAAAGACAATATTTAGATATTTGTACATAGATTTTATTCAATCATATATATGCTGTTTTGTTCCATTACTGTTGTGTATGATACACCTAATTTACATAAGCGGACTACCGACCATATAAATATGGGTTGGTACCGGAAGACGGGGAAGATAGTAGAGATTAAGAAATTGAATCCAGAGACTCTGCCCGACTGCGATTTAGTCAACCCATTATGCAGGAACAGTCTTCCCAAGAATATACCAAACTAACTGTAAATATTGTGTACCTATTCTTTGTTTCAATACATTTTGTTAACGTACATTTTGTGTTGTATTATTCCATGCTTATTTAAGCTTCAACAATTACCTTTTGCCATCTTTGAGGTAGATCATGATTCGATTTCCTTATAACTTGACATCTTTCTGGATGATGAACTGGTCTTACAGGCTTCCAGAGAATTAAAATTCTTCTCATGAAGAAAATTTTGTAAGGACTGAAATAAGTAGTAATCGAAATGTGCAAGATCCAGATTATTAAAAGTGGATGTTATTATATACATTCCATTTTTTTTTGTTCTGCTCAATCTGAGAAGACATAAGGTGTGCTATTGTCCTGAAGGAAGGTGACACCATTTCCTATTAACCTATTCTATACACTATTCATCAATTACTACCTTTTAATTGGTTCAACTGGGAGAATAATTATAGAAAATAAAAGAACACCAAATGACAAAAAATGCACCTCAATTCTTCCATTTTCATTATTAATGTAAAAACATTTAAAATTTACAATCCATATATGAATCATATAGAAAGACATGTTGAAATGTCACTTTTCAGAATATATATATCATAAATTTAATTTCAGTCACATTAATAATGAAACCATGTGTTCAAACTGAAAAACACTGTAAACTTTTTTTCGAACCCAATTTTTTGTGACATCACAATAAAAGAATGAATATTAAAATTTGATGTGCAGTAGTGTAATAGTTAATAGCTTGAAAGTAGAAACTGATGAGCCAAGTCTTACATCCATTTTTACACAAAACTGGTTGGGCATGAAGCTATCAACTCAGTCCTGCAAAAAAAACAAACAAAAAAAAAACTATTTGCTACAGAAACCACAGCAATCCACTGTGTTGAATCTGTGGTGGCATACTCCACAGGGGAATCTACAGAACTTGAGTGTGTGAGTGAGTATTTAAATATCATCCCACCTTAAATAGCACATTGCCTTTTATAACATGGAACTGTTTACATCTATGAAGAGAATAAAGTTGTCTTGATTCATCATCATATTTTTGCAGGCATCAACCTTGGCTATGCTTCTTTTAGTGCAATGATACAGCAACTTAATTTTCAATGTTTAAATCAACTGTCATATATATCAGCTGTCGTGTGTGTGTGTGTATATATATATATAATATATATATATACACATACACAAGCACCCACAAACACAATGGGTAGCAATATGTATACATAATGGTCGGTGGTTGCAGCATTATATCTAGACATCATGGAAATGCTCAGATCTAAATCAGTTGTCCTCTGACATCTACTGAGCCAATGTGAATTATTAGATTTTGAAAGTGATTGGTCAATTCAAATTGTCTGGGATACAACTTACCACAGTGTGTACAGGTAAGATCATTGCTAACCTGACAAACTTCACAAATTACTTTGTGACATTTCATGTAACTGGTAAGGCCTGCTTGGGATAAACAGATACAGTTGCATTCCATATATGCAAATTGTGGCATATTTTCATCAATGGCTTGTTCTTTTCTGGACATCCACTTGTTTCAATTGCTGGAAAATCTTCATCCCTTTTTGGATGTTAATTCTGTACTTGTTTCTACTGAGAGCAGTCAATTCTCAATTTCAATCATCCATCATGCATGCCTTAAGTAAAAACTTCAAACAGTTATTATAGTTTTCTTGGTTTCTGCTGAGGATGTTTTCTTTGGCAAAGTTAACTGTACAGGCTTTTAGCTTGTTTCTAGTGTGTGTGTGTGTGTGTGATGATTTTGAATGATAAATGTTCAATTAAACATGTTCTCTTAAACATAATAGATAGCAAAAGACTTGTAGCAAAAGAGAAAGTCACTTACCAAGAAAAAGGGAACATGTGTTCTGTACAATATGCTGAAGACAAAATAACCAAAACAGAAATGAGTCGGTCACAGCTGTGGCCATAAATGCTTCTCGGATATGCTAATATTGTTTGTCATCTCCAACCATTTTCCAATAAAAAAAAATTGTTCTGTCAATAAAAGTGGTTGGTGTTCTCGAATTAGGGGAGTTGTTTTTATTTTGCTACCTCATTCATCAACTTGCTTGTAACCGTTGGCTTGTAAATTGGGTTTCTGATTGTTTACATGTATTGGGATTTTTGACATTGGACCTGTGATTCATGAATTCGGCATTTCTTTCTGTCCCTGGATCTTTGAGTTTGGACTTGCAATTTGTTTATTTCATTGTGGAATTGAGCTGCTATATCAATTTTTGAACAATTCTATTCTAACTATTGTATTGATTTATACATTAATTTGATGAACAAACTGTTGTCCACAATTCACGTCATTTAATTTAATATTCAAGGCTTCTAATTGACTTCGGTCATTGTCAAGAATCAAAATCCATTTTGTTAGAATCCTGTGATGAGTTTGCACTGAAAATTTAAATATGATACATTAGTTATTTTTAACATTTAAATGTTAAATAATAATGTTGTTGAGTGAATGTAATGTTATTTTTTAATTTAAATGTCACATGAATTTGGCCTCATATGGGTTCCGAAATTTAAATACCTTTTAGATTGATTCTTAAATTATAAATGATTTTGTTATAAAGCTATGAAATATATTTCTGGTATCCTATTTTGTGATGTCAACAAACACTTGTTGCCATTTTTGTAATGTCAATGAATACCTGTTGTCACTTTTGTAATGCTCATTGTCATAGAGACTTAGTAATCACAGATAAAACTATAGTAATGCTGAACTGGTGTCAGACACCTTCAAATAACATTTGCACTAATAGTACTTGCTTGATAATACTCGCTCGAAAGTAACCACCGAATAATAATATTAATCCATATAGTGATCAGTATAGAGAAATAGTATAGAGATAGAGTATAGTGTAGAAAAAGTGATCCATATAGTAATAGAGGATAGAATAGAAATGATGATCGATTAGATGCCACACTAATTCCCATATATATATTTCCTTTGCCATCACATGATCTACTTATTCAAAATGGGATCACCTGTGTTTACTCTCTGGTGATCTGTGTTCAAACCCAAGTGTCGGCAGCGACACTTTATTCCTATATAACACCTCCCCTTTGAGATGACTTCATATGGAGTCTATATTTTTTCAGCTTCGGTTCAATATTCAAATGTTCCATTGCTGTTCTTTTTCTTTTACTGTACCTCCTTGGTTCACTAATTTCAGGTGGCATAGATATGTCAAACATGTCATACAATATTTCCATAGGTACCTCTTTTTGTGGACTTACTAAATCAGTGAATCTCTGTTTTAACTGGTTAAGGTGTCACTTATGTTCCCACCATTGTCCTTGTACCATGTATGTCATTTTGTTGATCCATTTTTTTATAATGCCATCCTTTCCGCGCTGATACATCTCGAAAAATACTTTGTCTCCGGGGATGAAATATTTATTTGTGTCATAATTTGTTGATGTTCTCATCTTGCATTCAGGTAATAACTTATTGAAGACAGACTTGATCTTCCTGGTGAGCATCAACTCTGCAGGCAACATTCCAGACATGGTGTTCAGGTTTGGGGTCATTCTGTAAATACTCAGAAATTGTTGTAGCATTATTTCATCTGACTCCTCTCCCTCCGACTTTATTTATGAACATGCAATAGACATTGGATTTTTATTATGGAAGTGATAAAAGGGGATATTATGAGATAAATTGAAATGATACTAGGAGATGTAAATTTCCTGTTTATGCGTATATCTCACAGAATGCCTCTACTAGAGTTGGCTTTTGAGCTCTTCTGAAATAATGTTACTAACAATTAGCTGCCTATGGTTAAGATTTTTAGTGTAGAGTTTGCTATGTGGACTGTTAAACCGGACAATACCTGAATGTGGTTTTGTACCTAAGTTAGCTTTATCTAACAGAATTTTAATTCTGATAGTGTATTTTATTATTTTTCTCTTTTTCAGAAACGAGGTAACAGGAAAGGTGAAATCCTTGTTGACACAATACGTGGAATTGAAGAGGTTGACAACCTCTCGTTAGACTTAAATAACAATGTCTTTCAGGTAATTCACATTTTTCAAAAGATTATATAAATATACTCAGTTAAAACTGTCAATAGAAAAAAAGTGGTGTGTAAAAAAAAAACAATTATTTCTGTATTTATAATGCTTTTTTATCACATTGGCTTCTAACATTAACTTATTCTTCAGTTCTTAAAATGCTTTCAGAAATATAGATAACAGTGGATTTGTTCTTTTTGTATATAAGAGCATAGCTATCAAAATCATGATTCATGTACTAAAATTTGTTGTCTTGAATGAAGCATCTGAATTTGCAGTATTATCATCATAATACACAACATATGCGTTATTAGAATTCAGTCACAATCTTACTCAATCAGCCTGCTATACTAAAAAGATTAATCTTATGGCTTCCCTTCAGTCATATGTTCTACAATTACCATTCTAGCTATGGACTGTGCAAGCCACCAACTCGCCAATCTAGTCCCAAAGTGAGTGGCCCTTGCTGCTGACAAAGACATGCTCAGCTATTTCCTTTGTTGCAATGATTGTAAGCAGGCATTCCCACCAATCCTGAAAAATACACTGTTGTAAAGTAGAATGTTCTGAATTAGCTGCTAGGTGAGAAAAAAAAAACTCAAATTTGTTGAGATAATTTGTATTCAGATCACATCAAGCAGAACTTCTTTCCAATGCTGAATGAATCCTAAATGAATCCATCCACTTTATATAATGTATTTCTAGACTCTGACAGTTCTCTGGAGTGAAACAAGGACTGATGCCACTCACATAGGAATTGTTTTTCACTTCTGGCTTTATGATAGCATTCAACATGGATTTGGAAGGGAACCAGCTGGAGCTTATGGAAGCTCACCTTTAGTGAAAGAAAGCTAACATTGAAACTTGAGACTCACCAAACATGGCACTACCTGAAATGATCAACATTTATAACTTTATAATATGTTACAGGAAGTATTTAACAAAAATATGGTAAAGGTAAACTACAGTTTTATGTCAGAATGGAGAGATTAATCAAGAGAAACAATAGCAGAATTCTAAACTAAAAGAAACAAATGAAAAGAAATGTAATTACAGAGATACTACAAATTTTCCTCTTAATGTTAATTGCCTGGTGGAAAATTTAGGACAAGATTAAAATCTGATAATCTCAAAAAAGTGTATGTTGATTTTACATTTGTAGTGAGCCCTGATAAAAATAAAATATATAAATAAATATAAAAAGAATTCAAATTAAAATAAGGCATTTGCACTTTCCTTTAAAACTCTTATCTCTTTCGTTCTCTCGCTTTCTAAACTTCTCTTTCTATGCTTCTCAACCTTCAAATAAAAAGAGGAAGAAGGAAAAAGACTGAACCCAGACAAAAAATGCTGCAGGTTTGCACGACCAGAGCAAAAATACCAAAAATCAGGAAGGCTCCATGCATAACTTCCATTATAAAAAAATAAAAAAGAAAGAAATGCTGGAAAATGAAATAATTTTGGTCAGTCAAAAAATTGATAAAATGAGACTTTTGATGTTAGCCAAAACCAATGTTTGCACTAGTCTCAGAGCTTGGTCAAACTGGATATAAACTGACATCCTTGAAAGAGATTGGAACAAAAGAATGCTACTGCAGAAAAACCAGCCATATGTGATAAGTGGTCATCTGCTAATGATATTTCTGCCCTGCCTAGGGCTGAGAAAAACTCATTTGATTGATACTGACATAATTTCTAATATTACTACTAACCCTGTCATGGTTTGACTTTAAAGCACCCCTACCAGACATTTCTTCAAAGCTGCTACCAGTACCCACCTTATAACCATCTTTTGCTACACTGAATAACAAGGGACTCACTCTAAGGAAAATAAATAAAAATATATATATTTTATACCCTTAGGGCACCTTGAGGCAGTGTAATGGTTAGCAAGCTTGTTTCGCTAGAACAATTACAACTGAGTAGTGAATTCAATCTTCATTAGGTGCCCCATACTTTTGGCCTTGTGCCACATCTAAGCTACACTTGGAAAATAGCTATATTTTATACCCTTGAGTCAGTTTGTTTTATTCCAAAGTAAGAAAATCTTACCACCAATCCACACATTCAAAGAAAGATTTTACAATTATAAAACATCCTTCAACTTGGCAAGATATAATAGAACCCACATGATAGTTACATGTGGGAGATTAAGGAAAAAGAAGGAAAGCCCTATTGGAAAATGGGATATAATGACAGTTTTGGCTTGCGAAACAAGACTTGCAGACTATGCTAGGAGGAAAAATTGGCAATAGTGACATAACCAAATCAAGCTATATTACTAAACCAAAGATCAAAAGTGATGCCAGTATGCAAACATGTTAGAATATTTACCCTGGTAAGTTATGAACTGGGGTAGAATGTCTTATTTTGTTATTATAATACACAAATTTTTTCCCCTCCTATCATCAATGATGCATATATAAGTATATTAAACAAAATAAAAGTAATTACTGATAGATGAAACTGTGGTAGTGATAAAGATTGAATTTTTTCTTAACTATATTTTAGAAAAAAATTAAATTGCTCTGGATTTTCTATTTTTTGAGAGTACATGTATCATTCTTATTTATGTGTTTCTATTGAAACAGCAGATGCAAGGTTTTCTGTTTTATATTCCATAATAAATTATATATATATATAGTGTCTGTTGTCTCTATATATAAGTTTAATTGCTTATATTATATATGCATATAAATATTTGTATATGGGCATATGTTTGTTGATATGTATCCTTGTAATTATGTTAATATTTGATCATATGGCATTTATAAGCATACACATATGTTGGTGTATGTATATGTAAGTGTTTATATACGGAGGTATTTACTTGCTTATATTTAGATGTATAGATGTATACATATGCGCATGTGTGTGTGTATGTATGTGTATATGTGTGTATGTATGTATATATGTATATGTGTATGTGAATATGTGTGTGTATGTATGTATATGTGTATGTGAATATGTGTATGTATGTATATATGTATATGTGTATATATGTGTGTGTGTGTATGTATGTAAAGATATATATGCATGTGTGTGGATATATATATATATGTAGATATGTAATGTATGTATGTATGTATATATGTGTGTGTGTGTGTGTATATATATATATGTGTATGTAGGAATGTATATATATATATATATATATGTGTGTATATATATATATATATATGTGTGTGTGTTTGTGGATGTATAAATATTTGTATATGTGTAGATACTTATATGAACATATATATATATATATATATATATATATATATATATATATATATATATATAAAGAATATATATGGTTAAATAGGTTATAACTAATCTAATATTACCATTTCCTCATTATGAATCTACCGTTATTCCTCTCATTAGTATGATTACTATTTTTATTATTACTATTATTATTATTATTATTTTTACTATGATTATTATTATCATTATTCCTCTCATAGGTATTAGGACTATTATTATAATTATTATATTTCTTTTTATCATTATTACAATATTAAAAATAATACTATTATTACTTTTAAATTTTATTTAATTTCGAAATACTTTTCAATTTTATTTATTTTTTTTTAAGATTCAAAATTTAAAATTGGAAACTTTAGATTTTAATTAAAAATTTTTTACTCCTTAATTGTTATTCGTAATATTAATAATGTTAATAGTAATGTTGTTTATTTATATTACATTCACATTATATTTATTTCCGAACTTATTTTGTTGAAAAATTTTAAATGCTTACATTAATGGCCAAATATATAAATCTGTGTTTTTTTTTTCAAATTAACCACAATATGCCCATATATGTTAATTTACTCTTCCTCTTTTTTCTTTTATTCTTTACACACTCTCTATTCCCTTTCTTTCTCAAACCCCTACTTCCACTTCTGCTTTCTTATATCTTTACTTCTCTTTTTCCTCTTTATCTTGTTTCTTGTGAGATGACTTATTAAATAGGTCAATGTCTGGTCCTTATCCGCCCCCCAACTCTTAAATATCTTAATAAAAATAGATTTAAAATTATTCCTATCTCTCCCTTCCCTCTCTAATTTCGATCATGTCTGTCATACTCTATATCACCTTACATCAACTTAAAACTACCCCTCAAAAGTGTATAAAAATCACATGTAAATTTAAAATATTTTTTCACCCTTGGAAGTGTAGTCTGATGAACCAGGTAAAAACCATATACCTAGGGAAATAAATAATGTTAATAGTAATGTTGTTTATTCACATTATATTTGTTTCCTAGCTTATTTTGTCCAATATATATATATATATATATATATATATATAATGTGTGTGTGTGTATAAATATTTATATATTATATGTGCGGTACTTATTAGAAAGCGCTCAATATCAGAGATAGAGCTATCATATTTGGCTGGATTGATGTGAGTTTGTGACCCTGGATTTCACGCTTTTTCACAAGTTTGTCTGACGATCGCAAAAGCGTGAAACCCACGGTCACAAACTCACATCAATCCAACCAAATATATATATATATATGTGTGTGTGTGTGTATTCCATGATACCACCAAGATGATAGATGACCTCTTGTGAATTTCCTTGATGTTTTGCTAAGTTTGGTTAAGTAGAATATTAATTCTATCTTTTTCAAAAGTAATATGTTAACTTCATGGTATTATCTGTACTTTTTCATATTGTGTTAACAATTAAAGACAAAAATTAACCAGCCTCCATGACCACTGTCATGCAGATGTCAGAGTACTCCAACCCTACCACTTCAGTGCAACGAGTAAGGTACTGCTCTAGTGTTGATATCCGAGACCAGTTTTCTTTCATTGCTTTCTTGTGATTTGCCTGAAAGCAGGATGCAGAACTACACTTTGACTGCAGCCTTTTTATTGTAGTTTTTTTTCTTTTCTTTTTTGGTTAGATGTTTGAAGCTGAATTTCTGTTGCCATGTCTTAGTCAATTATGTATACATGCTTTTATTTGTATTGCTTAGCATGATTCTGATTCATTTGCTGCC